CCCCCGGCTTTGGAGCCTGGCACCTCCTCTCCCACCTAGTCACTATAGGATGCGGGATCTCCTGGTGGCGTTTCCCTGCCAGCTCTCCCTCCTACAACCTCGTGTCTGGGGTTCTCCTGACCAAGCCCGTCTTCCTCCTCTCTTTCCCCCACCTCATCCCTGTCTGGGATTCCCCTGTCGTAACCCCTTTTTCCTGGTCCGTGCTAGCTTTTGGCCCTTCTGTCTTCCCCCACGTAAGGTGGCCTTGCTTTAGGTGGGGACCTCTTCAAGACCCTTTTCCTTCCCTGGTTAAACGCCTGGACTTTGCATTGCACTGAATTTGTATTGCAGCCTCGTTGGTCCCAGAGCAGGGCTGAGCAAGGGCCCCGCTTTCTCTTGCTTCCCCCTCGCTGAGCTTTGAGCGCTCTTTTGTGTGCAGGGATGTGAACTGGAGAAAATAGAAGAGTCGGGAGTCTCTCCCATGGCTGCGTGCTGATGTTCCCTATGCCAGGGGTATTCAGCCCGTTGTTTGTCCATGGGCTAAGTGTGAGGGGTCTGTAAGGGTAGCCGAGACATCCACGATTGTTGTCACTAGGTTGAATGTTGCTTGAGAGGTCTTTCAGGTGCCTGCTGCTGTCTTATTCTGACATGGTACCTGTTGAGGGAGCACAGTACCTGGGAGGCTTCCTCTCCGACCTCCAGAAAGGATGCGAGGAGCTCTGATATCCCCGTGTCAGCCCCTGTGCTTGGGATCTCCCAGCCTTGGAGACTGAGCTCTTGTGTTTTAGGCTATGTTAAAGATGAGATTTTTTGGCTCGTGCCAAAAATGAGGATGTGAGTAAAGTGACCCTCAAAGTAAAACATCTGAGGCTGTGGTTTCTCTGGATCTGCCTTTTCCCTAAAGAGTCTAGTGGTTTTAGGGGTCAAGCTTGAGAAACATTAATGGGTCTACTTTTCTTAGAAAGCTGCGTGTCCTCTTAAATGTGAACTTCTGTTTTCAAAACATCAACCATTTCCAGATAACTAGTTGAACCTTTTTTTTTTTTGCTTTTGTAAATGTAGGCATTAAGGAGAGAGGAAAAGGGATAGGCAAGTATACTTGACGACAGGCAGGCATAGGAGTTTGAGTGGGCAGACAAATCCTTAACTCACGGTTTAAAGCTGAGTAGGTTTTGTGCTTATGCTTTACCTGTAGCGGGTATAGGATAACGGTTAACTAAGAGAAAGTGGGGGGTATTTTTATTGATGATTCTACTTGTGTGGTAGTGGTTTAGTCCTTTGTATATAAATTCTGTGTGTGCTATGTAATGCTGGGACAAAAAAGGTCATTTTTCAATGAAGGCGGCAGCTAACAGGGCTGTGCTGGTCAATTATTGTCATTCCTGGTGGCTGTAACGTTCATAGATCCTCCTCGGCTCCGTGATCTGCATGGGCTACTTCTTGTCTGTTAAAAACACAGTGGATGGGAGAAGTCATCAGCTTTGCAGACTGCTTGTGCTGGAAGATGCTGTTGTGGGGGTGTTAAGTAACACACCACGCACCATCTCCGTGGGGCTCCAAGTATTGCATCAGAGGCGCCCGTTTGTGTGAGAGCCCCTCAGAGCAGTCTCAAATCTAGGTTTCTTGTACGTTCCGTCTGGTCCTCTTGGGGGGAAAAAAAAAAAGTACAGAAGCGAGAGAAAAGGTTAAAGCACATATTTTACTGGCACCGTGATGGAAAGAATCTTCCACCCCACCCAAAAGGAGACACTTTGCAACTATTTTGAGTTCCCGACTTCCGGTTATGGCAGCAAGTCCAATAGACACAGTTGTACACTTTCAAATGGTAAATGCTTGGCAATCAGTGTGACTTGAATGCAGTGGAACCGCTGCTCTTCTGGCTTGGGAGTAATTCAACACCATGTGGAATCACTTACTCTCCCGTATTTAATATGCAAGTCAGATGTGCTATTATATACACAATGCGGGGATATGGGGTTATGCTCCAAAGCAATAAACAGATATGACTGATGGTCAAAGCAGGCTCTGCTTTGTGTCTCTGGCTCCAAACTTCTCTTCATCCCCTCTCTTTGAGTGGCAAATCTAAGGAGGAGCTGGTTCAGCCTCTGGAAAGAGCAGCCCTGTGTGAATTATGCAGTGCTTTGTAAACCTGAGGGTCTCTCCCACATAGATGGGCTGCAGACTTCTTTCTAGAAGATCAGCGTTTCCAGTTGCTGCCACTGGTGGCTCTCACAGATGCAAACAAACAAACAAAAAGGATATTGACTGATGCTGATAGTAAGAGTTCCAATGTTTTGAGCTGGGAGAAAGACTTCCTCTACTTACAGGCGTTAAAATACCTTTCTTTAAATGTTGGATTTCCTGTTAAACAAGGCCTGGTGAAAGACGCAAAGATGCATGGCTTGTCCAGCGCCTCTTGCTGTCAAACCCTCTATCCTTGTTGGCACCCTGCCCAGACTGAGTACTGTGTCGCAGTTCAGGTTCCTTATCAGATTAGAAATTCTGCAGGGTACAGAAGCTGTCCCTGCTTTTTAGAGACCCTTACACTTGCAAGCGTGAGATGTAACAGGATTTAGGGTGCTTTCTGAAAAGGGAAAACAGACTTCACATCTCCTGCCTCTTTCCTCAATACTGCTATTCTGTGATATTGATACAAAAGGCACTAAGGTAATGGGAAGATGGGGGTGAACAAGCAGAGGTTTTTAGCCAGACTCCCTAAAACCTGAAAATCATCGAGCTAGAACAAATTAAGAACGTGCTTTTGATTCATCCATAGCTATGGGCAATGGTACTGTGTGATTTAGCATGCCGCAAGAAGCGCTCAGCCAGCGTTTGCCTGCTAAATGCGAACGTGACTTGCGTCGCATTGTAGACAGAGCTACGCTGAGGAGGACAGGGCAGATGGGTAGGTCTCTATTCGCAGCAACACGGTTTGCCATTCAACCTTATAAAAGCATATTGTTCTCAAGTGTTTTGTAGAGTTTCAATTAGGTATTTTGCTCTCGTCTCCTTAAACTGTCCTCCCTGTGGCAGCTGGCAGCAATGATTCCAGTCTATGGAAAAAAAAAACCCTATTTTGGACGCTTCTCAGCTGTCTGACCTATTGCACCGGTTGCTAACAAAGTACCCTGCGTTACAATAGGCAGTGTCTAACATAGAAGGACCCTTGTCTTGAATTGAAAACGCAAGTTCTGTGCGTGTGTGCTCATTGCACAGCATCTCCTTGTTAACCTCCTCTTAACACCAGCTTCTCAGACTTAACTAAATTAAGCTAAGGTATAATTACTCTGAAAATTCAGAGAAATTAAGTTTGTCATGGGAATTTACATTGCCTGATGTAGCTCAACTTTCTCTGCAGTTATCGGTGTGTGGTCGTTACTGCAGAGTCTCAGTTGCCCTGTGCCAAATGGTCTCTGAAGCTGTTATTGAATCAGGCATTGTCTCCAAATCCCCTGTTGAGGATTATGTGCATGACTTATACTGTCAATAGAGAAATTTGCCTGCCTGTGTGAATTCTGTGCATATATTGGTGCACTATTGACCTGGCAAGGAACCGTGTATTGTTTGTATGGCTTTTTGTCAGTCTTCAGTGGAAAACTGTCCCTGTGTTGCATGTTTAATAAAAGAAACTAAACTTTAAAATAATCCAGAGTGACTGCTTTATTAACAAATGCCTTGAAAAGACGGTATTAGAAACAGGCGTGAAAAGCTTGGTGAGGAACTACTGTGCTGGTGACTTGAAGCCTTGCTTCATTTTATAGGGAGCAATTGAAACAAATAAGAGGCTGTAAGCTCAAGCTAGCTGTCCTCCTGAAAGCTGCCTGGCTGAAGACCTAAAGCATTACAGCACTGTGTGGGCAACCAAGAAGCCAAGCAGGACGGCTTATGATGGACTTGGCATCTTACATGTGTGTGTGTCCTCAAAGTGACCTTCTTGTTTATCTTGCTCTGGGAGATTTTGAAAACAGGAGCCGCATCTTGCTTGTTCTCAGCTTCTGTTTTTTTATGCTAGCTTTTTGTTTTGTTTAACATAAGCAAGTCAATGCTGGGGTGGAGGCATTTTAACAGATGTTCATGCATTAGCAAGGAGTTGTCCTAATCTATTTTGCAGGTTGCCTTGCTTCAAAGTGCTGAGATGGGAAAGGGTCAGAGAAGGAGTGCTAAAGAAGAGTCAAGGACAGGCTTTTCCTACGGCTGCATGTCAAACTCTTCAGCATAGAAAGAAGCTTAGGGCAAATTTGGTGGGACTCGGAGCATTAGGAGCTGTGAGGTTCATTTCTCTTGCCTACACCTTGGCAAAGTAAAGGACAGGTAAACTTAGAACAACTCAAACGAAATCCTTGTCAAAACATTCGGTATTCAAAGCTGAGAGAATTACAGGACAGCTGGCTTAGTGTTACAACTAACGTTTCTAGTTCTTATGTGCTTATTCAAATAAGAACAATTTAATCCTATGGATTTAGGCTACAAACCGAGTGTCGTGGAGGCTGTGTATGGTGTCGAAGAGCTGTCTTCTCAGAGGTGCTGGGTTGTTAGAGCTGGATATATGCTTGTACCACATATAGCAAATTCAGTACTCTGAAATAGTCAGATGCCTGCGTAGAAATGACTTTTCTTGAAAGGACTCTAATTACCAAACTCAAAGAAGGTTAATGTTTTAGGCTCTGGTTTCCTAATAGGGATGAGAAAAACAGGCTAAAAACAATAATCCTGATTTTTAGCCTGTGATTCACCGTTTGGTTACACATCCTTCCATTTTGAATGACATGGACATGATTCTCGAGTTAGATGTTTCCATTCTCCTCTGTGCTATTCTAGTCGCTATGTGACAGTTAAATACTCCCACCCAAATTACAGTGGAGCTGTGCCTAAAGGCCTCAGCTGGCTAGCCTTATGCCTCAGGTCACTCTTTTCATCTCCGTTGGACTGGCCTTTATGTTTTTTCTTTACCTGCGGTATCTTTCTAATCTTAAATGTAAGGAGAATGTCAGTATTGAGGCTCACATGAGACAGCTGAGCAAACCTGTTGAGCCTGTTGACAGAACCCTCTTACAGAAGAAAAATGCCTTGCTTCTCTGCTACCTTGCCCCCTTTTTTTTTTTTCCAAGTCCCCATCGAAATGCCTTTCCCTGAACTTGTTGGAATGAAAAGAGCATTTTTTGTATGAAGCCGTGTTTTATAACTCACTGGTTCTCTTTACATTCTTTTTGCTGTGAGAAATGTGTTTGGGTTGACATTATGCACCTCCAGCTTCCCTTGAAGCTGACGGTTGTTAACACCGGACATAGCTGAGCTGAGCAACCTGGGCAGGGCCCTGCTTGTGTAGGTTGGAGTGCACTAACGTTCATGCCGTTCTGTTTCTGGATGTGGCTGCTCCTTGTGGGTGATACATAGGGAAACCAGCCTCGCAGGCTCTTTTTTTTTCTGTCTGAACTCTTCTATTTCTGTCTTCTCAGTGAATGTTGTGGAAGCCCTTCAGGAGTTCTGGCAGATGAAGCAGTCTCGTGGAGCTGATCTGAAAAATGGAGCCCTTGTGGTGTACGAGATGGTCCCATCCAACAGTCCCCCTTATGTCTGCTACGTCACCTTACCGGGAGGGAGCTGCTTTGGCAGTTTCCAGGTAGGATCGCTGAGAGACTGTCCCTGCTATGCAGCCTGTTCTCTAAAGCAGTCTAACTTGGGTGCCCTTAGAGTTTCTTTTCCTATCAGAGTGCGTGCTCAAATGTCTGTCTGTGGTGGGCACAGTGTAAACACGTTTTGCTAAATTGAGGCATGAGAAGGACGTGGCTCTGACTGTGATTTCAAGCTGGCTAATAAATGTTCATAACTGCCCCTATAAAACTCCAGCCTACTCTAATCCTGGAAAGTTTGGCTGTAAATGTGGCTACCTTGCTGTAGGTACTGTGTTCCCTACAAGTGATTGATTTGGACCCTAGCAGTGCTGAGATAAGATCCATGGTATCGGGGAAGACTGCTAAGTGTTAGACTGATTGTTTTTTAACAGTTAGCTATCCTTCACGGGATTGAGCAGTTTGGTATATTTACAGGATGACGCTTGGACAGCTTGGTGGAATAACAGTTCCTTGTGAGGGCTCTGGATTTGACCCAGAACATCTTCTCAAGCTGCCAAAAGAATCTAGAAATCAAATTGTAACATATGATCAATAATTTCTGCCCCTTTTCTGTTAAAAGGAAAATGTCCAATCCAAATACTTCACCCGAAAGATTAAGGTCCAAAAATCACAAAGGGTCCTGACTGCGTTTCAGATTCCTTTGCCGTAGTGGCTTTAGGCAGTTACTCTCTAGTCTTGGTTTGAAGAACGTGTCCAAAAGAAACAGTTCTAGCAGCTAAACGGTCTACCCATCCTGAAGAGCAGTCTCTGTGTTTAGAGTAATTTGGTTACATTTTGGTTTTAAGCAAATTAGTTTTGTTGACTATCTGATTGGTGGCATTTCCCGATCCAGATACTATGTGCTGAGTTCAGCTGCTTGTCTAATTTTTGTGTTTAGCATGGTTGGGATAGCTGTGGTTTAAAACTAGCTCCTAATGATTTCAGGATGTCTGAGAGCGCAGCTTTCCAACGCTACACAACACTGCCACCTAATAGCTATTTTGTGCGTCTGGGGGAAGTTTGGTGCGTCGGGCCTAATTGATCTCAGTCCTCCTGCTGCCTTTCTGTCCTGACGGTGTGTGTCTCTCCCCCAGTTCTGTCCAACCAAAGCTGAAGCCCGAAGGAGCGCTGCGAAGATTGCGCTAATGAACTCTGTCTTTAACGAGCATCCCTCTCGGAGGATCACAGATGAGTTCATTGAGAAGAGCGTTTCGGAGGCCTTGGCATCTTTCAACGTAAGGCTTTTAAATGCCTAGATGGCTGCAGTTGGTGGGGACAGATTGACTAGGGAAAAACTCAAAACATGGGAAGAGAAGTTTTCTCTTACATCTGGAAATCCTTATGTCAGGTTTTACAGTGACTTCTGAGTATTAAAATTTCAACTATTGCTCTAATTCTTGTTCTCCTGCCTCCCCTCCCACGCAGCCCAAACTCTTCCTTTTTTAAGTTTGAATTGCTGTCCCTCAGCTCAGGCAGGACAGAATAAGACTGAGATGTTGAATCATGTGATCGTGTGTTTCTGTGCCTGGATTGGGTACTCTGGTTAGCTTTGCTTAAACTGAATATTTTCCAGAAATTGAGTTTTTAGTGAGGGAGCATTGCTGCTTTTTTTTTTTTTTTTTTTTTTTTAACTGCTCTAATTATACCTTATATTGGAGGGAGTTCCTGCTGTGGGATCCCGTGGCACTTAATGGTTCCTAAAGTATTACATGAACTTTGAAATTCCCTTAGTGGGCTGCAGAAAAAAATCCAATTGCAAATGGCATTGTCAAAACAGGGTAGGCTGTTGCTTTGTGGAAAGCTGGAGTGAACGATGTGAGCGTTCAAGGCTGAATTCGTCTTGTGCTGGTGGGCTAGTTTACCAGTCTAATAGATGAACAAAGTATCCTTCTAAAAATCTGATCTTGAATTACAGAAGTGGAAAAAATTCTCTAATTTTTTTTTTTTTAATCCTGGAATTCTCTGGAGGCAGAAAAAAACATGCAGGCGCTCTGAGTGTGAGCAGCTCTGCCTGCAGCAGCAGAGACCTGTGGAGATGATGTAGCAGAAGTGGCAGGTAACAGGAGGGCTGTGCTTGCTTAGGAATCGCAGCTCTTGTATGAAATCTCTCGCAGGGTAATCGAGAGGAAGCTGATAATCCCAACACGGGGATTGGTGCGTTCCGCTTCATGCTGGAATCCAACAAGGGAAAGTCAATGCTGGAGTTCCAGGTACTGTTTGTAACTTCATTAACTATCTGGTTTAATCTTTCAGCTTTATCTACAGTGCTTTGCATTCTAAAAATAAAAAATAAAAAAAAACAGTATTGCCTTCATATTGCACGTGCCCAGTCCTAGATGGGGCTTTCTCCTCAGAATACAGCTCAGGACTTGTGACGTTTTCAAGTGCTGGTACACCTGGCCCGCTATTTTGCATTGGGCTTCTCTCTGTAAATGCTTCTTAATACTTGCATGGCTCAGTTTTGTGAAAGGGCTGTGCTTTCTCATGATCCAGTGTTTTCAGTGCCCTACTATTTAAATAACTTAGGGCAGTGTATTGGTGTTGGCAGTCCAGGACTGTTGCTTGTAGCCCTTATCGTGACTCAGGACCTCAAGTGAGCCATTTTATTTGTGTTTTTTCACCCTGACCCTGTAGAATGGGGAAGATTTCGCTTTCGTTAAGAAAGCTGGTGAAGATCTTTCATCCAAAGAGATGTTTTGATTGCAGAATTAGGAGTCTTCATTACTGTAGTTACGTGCCCTCAAACCACAGCAGTATCTGAGCAGTCTTCCTGTCCTATTGAAATCTGCTCAGTCTGTGTCTCGTTATGACAAAACATCTGTGAAATGAAAAGTACAAACTGCTGAGGGAAACTGCTATAACACTTATCAGTTTTGGTTAATGGAGCAGAAGGAGTTAGTGCAGGACAGATGACTGAGAATGGAGATTTTTCTGGGCTTTATTCCAGCCTTTGTGAGGAAACCACTCTTATGGGTGACCTCATATTTATCTGGGGTTGGGACACCCAGGTAAATAAGATTGCTCAGAGCACTCTGAAGTCTATATTTAACTGCTAACCTTTGAGCTCTCTTCTTATTGTCAAGTTGGATGTCTGTCCCAGCACATACAGAGAGAGTGTTATCAAAGTGCTCTGAGATTCGTGAATGCTTTTAACTTAAAAATAGGCTTCAAAAGTAACTTGAACTGAGTATTTTACAGACTAGCTGACTCTGATTGCACAAACTGATCTATTGAGGAACTGGATTTTTAAAAGAGGAGGAATAGACCACGACACTGTCCTCTGGATACTGAAGTAGAGCTTGGCTGCTCCTCAAAGTAGGCGCCTTAAGTCTATTGCGTTGCTGTATTTGGGGTTCTTTGCTGTAGGCAAACTTTTCCTGAAGCTGACTTCTTGCCTGGCTTGTTTCCCTTGAATGGAAATACTTGCTAGGCGGAAGATAGAAGTGTTTATATTAATGGTCCTGTTTACACAGGGCGACTCTGTTATGTATGTTCCTTAGGCTGTGTTTGTATTTGGGAAAGCCCAACTGGTTGCTGTAAGTTTATGAAGCAGGATTTGTGCGGCCTTGAGAGAGAAATGTTTGCTTGCACAACATTGGATTGTCACCCGCCCTGACTGCTGGTTTAGCTTTGAGGTTGTCAATGACAGCAGGAGTCTTGCATGCAGAATACTGAAGTCCTTGGGGCAAAATGAAGCATCAGCATCTTTGTCTTCTCTGTAATCCTTTTGTGTGGTAGGGGGATTTTGTCGAGTGGTGTGAACCAGGCCTTGCCCTTGCTTTCTGGCTCCCAGGGCACTGATGATGGCTCCTTTCTGTGGCTTCTCATCTTTTTAATATAAATCTTAGCTTGCTAATGCTGGAAGTGTTTTGTTTATGGACTCCTGAAGTTAAAAACCTGTTTTGCGATCCTTGGAATTGCGGAGGACTGGTGCGATGGTGCAAAGTCCTTTTCAGCCCTTGTTGCAGTAGCTAGAAACTAACTCACCCTTTTGTTCCTCGTAATGCCATAGCCTCTTCCGAAAATGACCTTTTGCGCATGCTAGTGCATGTGTGCACCTATGGCACATTTTTCTGAATTTTTGAAAAGCTGTCACTGCTCAGAATCTGCATCCCTATGTTTGCTAGCAGTCTGACTGCCTTTTGCCGTCACAGGAGCTGATGACAGTCTTCCAGTTGTTGCATTGGAACGGCAGCCTCAAAGCCATGCGAGAGAGGCAGTGCTCGCGGCAGGTGAGTCTGGGCTGTGGGTGTCTCTCTCAAGCTGTGCTTTTGCAGTTGTCCTCTAGGTGCGCTAGGATCCACAACAACCCCATCCTTAAGCTCCCTTAGCTGGCAAGGAAGCCAGATGCTACTAAATGATGCATGTCCCATTTAGTGACTTGTCTTTCCTAAGCTCCCTTGCATATGTCCATTACCACCAGGAAGTACTGGCTCACTACTCCCACCGCGCTCTGGACGATGACATAAGGAACCAGATGGCCATGGACTGGGTGAACAGGGAGCAGAATAGCCCAGGGGCCCTTTCCAGAGAGCTGGCTTCAACAGAGAGGGAGCTGGATGAAGCCCGCCTGGCTGGGAAGGAGCTCCGTTTCCATAAGGAGAAGAAAGACATCCTGATGCTGGCAGCGGGCCAGCTGGGGAGCATGCACTCCTCCAACTGTTAGACTCTTGTATGCAAGTCATTCCACTCCCCCAGGCCTACTAACACCTCCACACTGACGGGATCCGTCCCATGTCACTTAACGCATGTAATGCCTCTTCCAGAATTGTGGCCCATTTGCACATTTTAAAGAATTTTTTTTTTAATGCCTGTACAGATTTTTATACTTTTTTTTTTAGTACTTGCTTTTAGATCTACTCCTCCGCTTCCTATTTGCTAGAGAATTCCTTCTGTCACTTTAAAGAGTGCATTTAAAAAATGCAGCCTTTCAGTATTAACACTAAAGACCTCCGCTGTACGTGGGTACTATATAATTGGCAGTATTACGTGAAAATGTAGCACTTCTTCAAGAAGCTTCTGTTCTTTGGAGCTGATGCATGTTGTGCAGACCTGCTTTTTTATTCTGCTTCTGTAGCAGGAGGGGTTCTATCAAAACTCCTTCTTGATAAGCACAGTAATAATAAGCATTCTTTTTAACTCTACAGTGCAAGCTGCATTGGGGAATACTCCAAAGCACGTAAAAGGGGTTTAAAGCTGGGATTTTGGTTTAGTCAGACTTAAGTCTGGGGATCAGTGTACAAAATTCCAGTTCAGTCTCAGGCAGGATTCACGGTTACCCCTACAACTGTCAGGTGTCTGGATCTGTTCCTGCTCTGGTCTTTCACTCGTAGGGTAAGACATAGTTCATTCCCAAAGTAAACAATACACCTAATGGCAAGCTATAAAACCCTGTGATACTTAAGGGATTGGTCTAGCAGTTAATTAGTCTGCACCAGACAAATTCTCCTGCTATGCTCTTTTTCAGTCCTCTTTGGGTTCTTACAGTGTTTCACCCAGTCTAGGAGGATGGAGATGCTAAAGGGCTGTCCCAAGCGCTAGCAGTTGGTGGTAGTATGAAATGGCCGGTTTACCCAGCTAGAAATCAAGCCTTGGAGTTGTTTGGCTTCCCCAGCTAACCCGGGGAGATGAGGGTTTTTGAAAGTCGTGCAAGAAATAAGAGATGGACACGCTGTTCTCTCCAGGGTAACTTCCAAACCGAATGTCAGACTTGGCCTTTTCGAGGAAGATTTTAAGAGCCTTGCCAGAGTTTCAGACTTAGCGAGCAATAACAGGGGGGAGCTGTGCAGCCTCTCTCCCTGAAGAGCCTTGTATATACAAGTCTTTGTTAACCAGAACTGTATTTAATCCTTTGAACCAGAACACAGGCTCTACCCAGCCCCAGCAGCAAAAGCGCAAATGGGGGGGCTTGGCCTCAACTTTGCATTGCTTTTACCAGCCAGAGTAAAGGGGTCTTACCCTTGTGCCAAGAGGGACTGTGCTTAATTTACAGCACGCAGCGCTCTCCACAGCCTAGCTCCCAAGAAATAGTTGGCAGGGGCAATTCTTAGGATTACTGGTGGATCAGAGAGCTGCTGCTTAGCAGAGGGCTGAGGAGCTCTGCAGGTGTCTTCAGTAGATCACACAGAGCACACCTTAATGTTACCCACTGCGAACTTGGTGTGGGAGGAAGGGAATCACTAGATTGTATAAAATGAAGGTGTGGGCTATAGGTTTGGCACCTCTGGCCTGTAGCGTTTATATAGCGTAGCCTCACACAGCAGAATGGGAGAGAAAGCGAGTGTAAGAGCTGTGCTTCTCTTGGAGCTGGAGGCTCCCTGCTTTGGAGCTTGCTCCGTTCTTTTCAGTAGTGGTGTTGGAACAAAACACTGCTGAGTTGAGAACTTCTATATGCACTATTTTTTTAAATGAATAGTTCCCTGCTCTTTGTATACATATCAGTACTAAATCTGTATGATGTTTAGATTAAAAATACTCTTCCTGACACTTGTGTTCCTGTAGCTCAAATTCACAGTCCGAGAAAGTAGTGATTTGTTCAAGGTAATTCCTGTATCGCTTCCTACTTTTCTAATATATAGCCCAGAAGAGTCAGCAATGTCTCAGTGGGACTATAAATTGAAGACAGACTTCTTTCTTCAACACAGTATTCAGCTTTGACCTTTCTCTGGTCCTTCCCCCCTCATACTCCCCCCGCCCCATGACTATACTTTGGGTAGAGGTGCAAAGCCTTTGGGAATCTGACGGGTAGCTTTTGCTATTGCCATAGATGACCACCCCTCAACCCTCTCCTTTCTCTGAAGCAGCCTCTTACTGTGAACGTAGAGGCACGTGGATATTCAAGCAATAGTCTTGTTTTGAAATGAAGATCAAGAAAAGTGCGTTATCTGTAGGCATTCTAGTTTTGTATTCTTGTCCTAACAAGCCTATTTTGTTTTTATATATTTTTTATATGCAGCCTTTTTACACAACAGTATTAATGTTTAATGCGTTTATAAATGTGATTGTAAATGGTGTGGAGTTTTTTTTGTTTGTTTGTTTTTTTTACAGGTTGGTAATATCTGGACCTTGTATTTGGATTTAATCACCCGCTCTAGAAATAGTGTGGAGTCTAACATCTTCCTATTAGCACTTCCACACCTGTGTATAGTGTTACAGTACGTCATGTGAAATGGTGATTTATCTAACAGCCTGCTCTTGCAAATATGGAAACTCTTAAGAAACTTCACTTTTTGAGCAGATGGTGTAAGCAGCATCGGCACCCAACCATACATCTCCAGGCTTTCAAGTTGCTTGGACCTGCATCAGTGTTTTCCTCTGCATTACAGACCGGGGTTTGCCATCTTATCCTAGTTACTTCTCACCTCTCTAGCAGCATGAGATGGAAAACGTGACCCAATAGAAAAGCCCCCTGGCATGAAGAAGTTGTGAGACATCCAGTTCTTGGCTAATTTGGAATCCTTATGGCCCACTTGGATTTTGCAAGTTGAAGAAGGTCATTTAGAGCTGTAAAGATCAGTGGGCCAGAGCTGGTGCAGTCTTGCCGTAAGAATCCTGGTGCTCGTTGAGGAAACATCGTACAGCCCCTTCTCCCTGACTACAGCTGGGTGCAGCAGGGAGTTTGGATCTAGGATTGCTTTCAGGCACCCTGTTTGAATTAATACTGCCTTCTCCTTTGCAGTACAAGGCCCTGTCAGTTAGAAATTCCTTTACTTAAACGTACGTAGCAGCACCTTAACAATCAAACTCCCCCTGGAGACTTCCTTGGGGAGGAGGAGTTCTTGCCGAGCAGCGTCTGTGCCCTACGTGTTAGGACTCTTGGTGTAGCAGAAGTTGCACGAGCTGCTGTTTGCAGTGCTTACGAGTGTTTTGCATGTAGGGATCTTAATGGTTTTAGCAAAGCTTGTCTCCGTAACTCTCCTCTGTCCTGCAGCGCTGAACTGTACACAAGCTGTTTCAGATGCCTTACTACTGCCAGCAGCTGTTCTTAAACGAATCTAGGAGGATTATGTTGTTTCCACTGTCAAGGCCCAAGTCTGCAAAATGGGACGTCCTGGCAGAAGGGAAGGTACAATGAAAACCTGATACACCAGTACTTTTGTTTTGGCAAAACCGAGGCTGGTTTTTAGTCCCCTGATCTACTTGCAGGGTGATAATGCCCCTGCCCTAGGGACGAGGAAAGCTTTCTGGGCTTTCTTACTTCAGCTACTTGTCCCATCTTTCCTGCGGAAGCCATCGAGCTTGTTTTAAGTAGTTGTGGCTGCAGAGCCTGCCTCGTACTGAACGAAACCAGCTAAGCCTCTGTCATCTGAACGTACCCATACACGAAGCCTGCATAGTTGGTGGGTGTCACTGCCTTCCCCCTTCTTTTGGGGGTTAGAACAACACTAAGCCTAGGCAGGCGTCTGGGCAGTTTTATATTAAATAGCAGCAAGTGTATAAAACTGTTTTCTTTTGTTCCAATTACAACTTTATACTCTCGAAACGTTGTTTTCCCAAATCCCGAGGGAGGGGGTAGGGGGACTGGCCTTCAATCTAACCCGAGGCAGCAGCAGCAGGATTAACATCCTGGCTTTTTCAGTGTCCAAAATCTTGTTGTCTTCCTTCTTCATGCTATAGGGTTAAATCCAAAGCTAAAATGATAAATCACCTTTCACGTGCCGTCCCTGCCTTTTTCCATGTATGTCATAACTTTCAGTACATCATTGCATTTTGTATGTATAATTTTATACAATAAAGCTATAGATTTTTGGGGTAGCTGTGGTGGTTTCTCTCCCGTTTTGAAAGGCAGAAACGGCAAATCCTGCTACTGACTTGTCATTTGCATCTTTCCTAGGCGGCAGTTCGTACACCGGGACAAACAAGCGTTTGCAGTTTCCACCCCAGAAGCGCACGGGCGACGTGCTGTTTCTCGCTAAAGCGGTGTTTGTCCTCGTTTAATTCCAGCTTTTTCTTCTGCTTGTGAAAGTGGTTTATGGTCTGTTACTCTGGGGCGGAAGCCAGGCAGGCCTGGCCTTAGCAGCTGGCGACAGAAGCGGCCTCCGCTGTTGGAAGCTGATTTTGCTCTGCACAAGAGGTGCTTCCCCGGCCAGCCTTGCCTTAGCTTTCCCCGCTGGAGGGAGCTGGTGGCTTGGGACAATTTAAGGCTCTTAAGGCTCTTTTTTTTTTTTTTAAACCTCATCTTTTCCACTCATGGGGTCCCCTCCATGTCCCACCAGCTCTGCCCTTCTGCTGCCTTTCCAGGGTTGTAGGAACTGCACAGCAAAGGGCACGTTTGCCCCCAGAGCAGGAGCTCTTCTTTGTCCTCTTTTTCTTTCTTTTCTGCAGTTTGGGTGCTAGTCGGTCTCGGGAGGGCTGAGCTCGGGCCGCAGCCCTTCCCCGGTACCTGCGGGGATAGCCTCTCCTCCTCGCAAAGGTCGGCCAAGCTTCGTCTGCCGGAGCCAGGTCCCCCGGGGGCTCGA